TCAGCTGCTCAAAGCACTTCTGCAATCAAGATATGCTCCATCACACCATGGAGCCTGCTGTTACTCAGCCACTGGAGAACAGCTCCATGGTGTGACTGCAGCATATCTTGATTGCAGAAGTGCTTTGAGCAGCTGACCTTGAAGAGCAGAAGTGGGCTTTTTGTCAGCTAATCTACACTAAGGCCTCAAATTAAACCCTTGTGCTTTGAAGACAGTTCAGAACAATAGAGGAAATCAGGCATATTTGTGATGGGAGTGTTTGCTCTGCCTGTCAGGTGGTGGTGGAGCATGACGAGGTGCGTCTTTATATGGACTGTGGAGAGGCTGAGAGGACGACTTTCCATCGGAGGCCAGAGAAGCTCAGCTTCTCACACAACTCAGGCATTTTTGTTGCTAATGCAGGAAGCACGGGGCTTGACAAGTTTGTGGTAAGTTGGGGGAAAAAAACACTTAGTATGTCTGTGGTAGTTTTTGTATCAAGCGGATGCCAAAGAGTTTTTTTTTTACTGGAAGAAAGGACCACAAAAAAAAGGGAAAAAATGAGAGGCTGCCTGTGTCAATATTAGTGTGCAGTTGGTCTCACAATGACTTTGTTTGTGTGCATTTTGGCCTCCAATTATCATGTAAAAGAGTAGACATATCATCTCCTCTCACTCTGTCTCCGCTGGAAACTTCCCAGCATTCACACTAACAAGACAACTTAAGGGTTAATTTGCTAAAACAGATAACTCTTCCCAAACCTTCAGAAAACACACTTTTCCATCGACGACCTGAGACAACATCAATCAAACTTAAGTTGTTTCTATTTTTTTCATGTCATTTCTACTGAGTCAAATCCACTCAGCTTCACTTTGATTGATATTATCTCAAGGAAACAACAAAAATAAGTTTTTTGATAATCTACAAAAATTGAGTTATCTGTTTCTGCAACTGAACTCTTCAATTTTTTTGAGAGCAAGTGCTTTGGCAAATTATCGACTGTTTGACTGCACAGAGCATCGGCTAAATAAATAAATAAATAATTACCCTGTTGAAAAGCTACATGTGAATGTGTTCATCATGTTCCATCCTTAGTTTATGAGGTTGTAGGTACTAAAATGTCAGACAGCTAAAGTAACAGCACCGATAGAGAAGGACATAAATCATACAGCTTGTAATTGGATGCAGGATTGAAGCTGTGAACAAAGTGGCCAAGAACATAAAGACAACAAAGGCACTTCACATCCTCATTTTCTTTCCTTACTTATTATGGTTTAAAGCTAAACTTCAAACAGTAACAACAGACAGCTACAATTACTAATAGAAGGATTGTGAAACTAAAACATTCTATGTTCATCTCAGTTTTACTGCAAATTTCATTTTGGTTAATAATAAGAAGATGACATAATCTTCTGAACAGCTTCTCCTTTAAAGGGTATTGCAGAGACCTGCACATGCTTCCAGAGTCTTGCCAGTAGTCATAGTTTACTTTAAATGAGCAAAAAGAAATACGATGATCTGGACAGAGTCAGGGTTAGAAATGTCAATGCCCAGTTCCGTGACTGTAACCCGAGCTGACTCTGTTCAGAGACCAAGGGTAAGAAGGGAGGAACAAGTAGAAAGGATGAAGAAGGGAGGAAGAGGAGTGAGATGTGGAAGGGAGGAAAGGATGGGGGAGTAAATAGATAGCAGATGAGGAAGTCGGACATGTCAACATGGCTTAGTTGTGGTCGGATCAAGGCTATGGAGTGTGCTGCGATGTCAGGGCTGATGGTGCAGTAACGTAAACTCAACAGAACTATGTGTAAAATGTCAACCCAGAGTTTCCCAGGGCTGGATAAATGACGGTCAAAAGAAAGGACCACATCCTGTAGAAGCAGCTACAGTGGGAGTAAGCAACAAAAACACTCTTGACACTGACATTACTACAGGAATCACTGTCAGTCCCGTTCCACCTCAACAATGCCCACAAAAGAAAAACACGAGTTGGTAGTCACTTGTGGTTGCCATGGTGAGACAATGCGGTCATCCTCACTTCATTCTGCTTTGTTCAGTGTTGCCTGACTTTCTGAACGGGTTATCTGAAGCATGACAACCGAATATATGCACGCTCAGCAGCAGTCATGTCCAGTTGTGTCTATCTGGGTCACTGTGTGTGTGCGTCTGTTGTGTGCGTGCGCTCCTGATTTGTTGTCTTGGGCTTCAAAAGAGTGCAGTCATGCCATGGGGCCCTTCTCAATCTGCATGTGTTTGTGTGTGAATGCTGTAAATGTTATGATTTTTGACCAATAGAATGGACAGCTCCCCTAGTTCCCATAAAAACCTGCAGCACCGCCGCTATCATACTGGGAGCGTGAGTGTCGTACATGTTTGTGTGCGCACATGTGGGTCTTTGGAAATCTTGTCTCTATGGTGATATTAGCAAGTGGACTGTACTTCTTTGTGTGTGTGAGGTTCCTATGCTTCCTGTGCTTATAGAGAGAGAAAGAAAGAGGCGATAATAGAGTCAGTCACACTTTGAATATATGTTCTTGAAGACACCGACTGACTAGAAATGAAGGTTTGGTTTTGCAAAGACCAAACTGATTATAGCTGCTTAATGTAACTGTGTCCCAACCTCATTCAATTTACAACAACAGTAATAATAATGATAATAGTATAAAGAAGAACCGCATTTGTTTAGCGCAGTTCATACAGCAAATGTCACTCAAAATGCTTTACATCAGTAAAAGAGAATAAAATAAAATACTAATATACATATAATTGTAACAAAACACAAGATAATAAAATACAAAAGTCCTGAATATAAGTAATAAATGGGTCTGATACCAATAAATTACATAAAACTGCATGTATAATTTCCTTTAACAAAAGCTATTTAAAAGCTAAAAGCAAAATCTGAAACTTATTTCTAAAATAAACGGTTAACCAATAAAAGGGCCTTTAAAACCAGACTAACATTTAATTTTGTTGAGAAGATGCTGCATTTTGGATCATGTGAAGTTTATTTAAAGATTCCTTTGGAAGGCCAGAGAATGGGACATTACCAAGATCAAGTCTGCTCGATATAAAAGCAGAAATAAGTCTTCTGACAAGAAAGATTACTCACAGGCGACATATCTGAAATGGCAAAATGTGTTTCTACATTGAAAAAACTATTTAAATGAATCGTGGAAAGTATCTCCCCACAACAAAATACCTTTTTTTCAGCATTTAGCAATTCTATTGGATTGGGTTAATTCACTTTGGGTTAGAACAATTGTCATTTCTAATTCTATAAAATGAGTTGACCCAACATGATTAAATTAAGTTCCGCCAACTGTTAGAAATAAGTTGAATCAACCTTAATAAATTATGTTGACTCAACACAAATACATTAAGTTGGACCAACAGACTTACTAAACCCAAAAGAAAGCTATTTTATTATGTTGAAGTACTTTCTGTGATTTTTCTATATTAATTCAAAAGTTTGTTCCTTTTTTGTTTTATGTTTTTTTTTTCAGCATAAGCTAGACTGACTCAGTTTACCTCAACATGAATGAATCTAACAAATGTTGAGTTGAGGAATATCATGGAAAAACTACATGAGGAAACAAGACAGTTTGTCATTCGGCCTAATGTGGTCAAGCTAGAAGGAAATGTTTCGCGGTGTATCATCACCTTAGATATGAAAATCAATTTGGACTCAAGCTAAGCATGTCGGCTTTCAGGACATTCTTCAGACCAATTACCTTAATTTAACTCAATTCTATTTATATTGTTCCAAACGATAACATTTGTCAGCTCAGGGCACTTAGTATGATTTTAGTATAGTATCAACTCCCTCTTAAATAGCACTTGGCTCCAGTGGAGAGGAAATGTTAGCAGGAAGAAACGTCAGACAGAACCACACCTACAGCTGGCAGCCTCAACCAGTTGAGCTCCATCAGTGTGTAACACATAATGTGCAACATTTGCTATAAAACTAATATTAACTCCTTTTATATTAATGAATGTTTGCATTTCATAACAGTTAAATGAAGGCACAACTGGCCCATAAGCAAACATTAAAACACAAATAAAAACAATACAGAGGCACAGACAAGACAAAAGAAGCCATGACACATCAAGCAGTGTGCAGGTTTACACAATGGCCTCAGTAGATCTGAATGTAGCTGCATCCCAGTGGAGAAGCTTATCTACATGTATGTAAATGCAGAAAAAATTAGTAAGAACACTTTTCCTTTAAGGCATCAAAAATATCTGTATTGTTGGTCACAAGCATCTGTTATCCTCAGCCATGCAAAGTGAGCAGTGTACGAGTAGTTCTGTGTGCTGAGCTTGTGTCGTGTTTTATATGCTGCTTGTAAAACTCAAATTTTGTACCTTAAGCTCACAAATAAACATAAAAAGTGCATACAAGTATTAAGTGAAATGGAAATATTCTTGTATTATAGATGTGCTTTTTTACATTCTGCCGCTGCAGGATTTTTATCCAGAACAGTAACAAATCCAACAGCCACAAATCCACCTGTCTTGATTCTCAAATAATCCCAGTGATCAATGGACAAACAAAACTCTGCTCCTGTCAGTCATCACACTCAGCTCAAACTTTCCTCTTATCATGTTTACTTGCCCACCAACCCAGTTCAGTTAACAGACTTTTTACAATTGTATGGACTCGTTAAGGTGTTTGGATGACAGATTCCTAATTCTCTCTCTCGCTCTCTCTTGTTCCAGGGGTCTATTCAGCAGCTGGTCATAAAAGATGATCCCAGAGCAGCCGAGGAGCAGTGTGAAGACGACGATCCTTATGTGAGACACAAACATACACACAATAGCAGAGGTGCAGGATGATTTGATACTAGACAGGGGTGTGGAGTTCAAAATGCTGCGTGAATAAAATACAAATGAGCCAACAGCGCCCCCTTGTGGTCAAATGATTTAGTACAATATTCTTTCTTCAAAATATTTAATAATTGCGTTTTATTGCAAATATACATAGGTTTATGTGTATTAATATAATAGATTTATAAGTCTTATATTAGACAGAATACTTATATTCTGAAAAGTGTCAAGAATTAAGACAAAAAAAAATGTCCTCCGACTGATTAAATGCATTACCGAATACAAGCTAAAACATTACATAAATCAACAACGTTCTGTCTTTATTCAGTGTACACACAGCTTTTTGTCTTGCTTCTTACATATAGCAGTAGGATAATCTCTTTGCACATTTTAACAGCAGCCATAGATGGATTTTCCCACAAATATAACAGAAGTCATCTGCGTTGTTTACAAAGTTTCAAGGCTTCTCTGCTTCCTGGGGTCAAAAAATGCAAAATATCAGGCACTGACAAATGTACAAGTTATTACATGTGACAACAGGATATCCTAAAAAAGTAACAGCACATGTTCTGTTTAAACTCTGGCCAAGACAAATGTGCAGACAGTGTTTCGAAAGTGAATCTAGTTAATTAGCACTTTTGACTGATAATGTTCTTTATTAGTGACCCAAATTAGATAAAGTTTTACTACTTTTTACTTATTCTGGAAGCACTTTGCTTGCAGATCAGTGTTGTATGCATCTGCAGTAGTTTTAAATGAATAATATAACTCCTCCTGGATTTCTCTGCATATCAAACACCTCAGCCGACAATTGGATGTTCAAGAGAGTTTGCAGTTGATATTCGTACTTAGCTAAAGTGGGGCACTATGTTGTTATTGGTTTTATAAATTCTCGTGTAGGCTTGTTTTCTTTAACACGCCTGTAATATGATGTTTTGATGCAGGCCTCTGGGTATGCCAGTGGAGACGACGCTCTGGATGACAGAGAGACAGAAGAAGACACGATGAAGAGCACACAGAGGAGAAAACAGGTCGGTTTATGGATGGATGGATGGATGGATGGATGGATGGATGGATGGATGGATGGATGGATGGATGGATGGATGGATGGATGGATGGATGGATGGATAAAGCACTGTTTACAGTGCATGTATCGGCAGCAACAAGCTGTTTAGAGTTGAAGAGCTGTGATAAAATGACAATTATGAGCATAAGTCCATTTGTGTCGGAAACTGAGAGTGATGCTTTCCCCGTTCTTATGATCATATGTAGATGTAGAATCACACAGCAGTAAGATTTACAGACTGCCTGCCATTAACACAGGTGACACAGCAGTAGTGACGCCATTAATTATTTACATCGTTCTGTGAATTATCATTTTGATGACATAATATGTAGTTTCCCCTATTACCAAAGATAAAGCCCCCTGTCTCTACCATCTGCACAATCTATGACCTCGATCTCACTGGAGAAGTGCTCCCCCTCCTCACAAATCCCAATTTAACCTCTGTGTACAAGTACAAGAAATACATCCGTGTTTCATCCTCCCACAGCCTGGAAGTCAGTCTGACCTCAAACATCTCAGAATCCACACTGACACTGAACCTTGACAGGAAATGGATGGTTTCTTGAGAGAATTTCATCAGCAGCAGAGTAGACAAACAGCACTGACAGCACAATATTATTTGTTATTAACTGTGTGATGCAGTTTTTACTATGTACTTGCAGCTCATTTTTATACTTTAAATGGACTCTACAACAGATGCTATGTCACTTTAACAATCATCCATCCCTCCATCCATTATCTATACACCGCTTAATCCTCATTAGGGTTGTGGGGGGGCTGGAGCCTATCCCAGCTGACTTAAGGCGCCAGTCTATCACAGGGCTACACTTAGAGACAGAAAACCAAGCACACTCACATTCACACCTAAGGACAATTCAGAATCACCAATTAACCTCAACATGTTTTTGGACTGTGTGTGAGGAAGCCGGAGAACCCGGAGAGAACCCACACTGCACGGGGAGAACATGTAAACTCCACTCAGAACCGGCGACCTTCTTGCTGCGAGGCAACGGTGCTAACCACCGAGCCACCTTGCAGCTCACTTTGACAATCAGCATGTGTTTTTAGCAACAACATTTTGACAATGGAGATGCTGGTCTGATGGTCTTTCCATTCGTAAGTCCATCAACCATTGGATCAGCTGATCCATCACACATTCTTGGTCTCCAGAGAATGAATCCTTGTGACTTAAGTTTTCAAGAGCCACACAAAGTCTAGTTTTTTCAGCTTTTTCATGACTTAAGCTTTTCAGTGTGTTCACGAAAAACCCAGACAGAATTCATGCTCAGTGGGAAGAGCCGCCTTGGATTTTGATTCCCTCATGAGCATTATTATATTGAGTAGATTTTTGATGAGCAAACTGCAGAAGAACCCTTCTAATTCTGCTGACCTGAACTAACAGTCTTACTATTCTTATTTATAGGAGGAGGATACTGTTCCTGTTAGAGCTCCACCCACTGAGGCTCCAGAGGCGGAGCTTGAGGAGTATTCCGGTCACACGACTCGCAATGACGAACTGCTAAAAGGTCCGAATGAACCTTTATGTACTCTTCATTTACTGTTATCAGACATGTCATTAATTAACTGGACCTTGAGGATTTTTATCTTTGTGTTATCTCTTAGGTTGTAGCGACAAGTTTTGCTACTTTATATAGAACTGAGATAGATTTAAAACACAGAGTGTAAATATACGACGATATTGCATTTAAAAAGAAAATGATTAATGAAATGAGTTTTGACCACTCTGGCTTGATGAACATCTGAATAGAATCAAAACATCGTTAATCAATCAAGAATTTTGGGTTATGGGGTAAATTACAACATACAAACCATTCAGTTAGGCATCAAAATCCTCTCAGTGTTCATTTTACACTGTGTATTATATAATATGGATTATAATATGTATTATGTCGTATACTGTGTTTAGTGCCACACCGGACCGAGGAGCCAGGAGAGCGATCAGGAGACGTAAGTTCAGACATGGACCTGCCTTTTTCTCTCTGATCCCCATATTTTGATACAGTTCGTTTTCTCTACAGATCTAAATGATTTAAACACTTTTATTTAAATTTACAGGGTCAGGTCAGGCCTGGATTAAAAGGAGAGCGTGGCGATCCTGGACCACGTGGCCCACCTGGTCCCCCAGGCCCCCCCTTCGTACCTGGGGACACTCAGCTTGGACCGTTTGGGCCACAAGGACCACCAGGAACCCCTGGATCTCCTGGGCAACCAGGGAGAGATGGACAGAAGGTTTGTACGTCAAAAAGAGAGAGAGCGTGTCAATGTGTTTTTTGAACAGGATAACCTGAACACTGATCCTGAACCCTGCTTCTCTTCACAGGGATTCAAAGGTGATAAGGGAGATCCAGTAAGTTAATCATCAGCTTGTTTGGGGTTTCCTTGTGGGTATTTTTTCTGTTTTGTTGCTGTACTTTATAACTGTATTTTCACCTTCAGGGTCAGATAGGATCTCCAGGCTTTCCAGGTTTGAATGGAGAAGCTGGAATTAAAGGAGAAAAGGTACAGCTAAAGCATCCATATTGTCATTCATGACCTATAGAAAATGTTAGATCCTTTATTCTAAACACAAGTTTTGATTTTTAAAAGAAAGCTCTGCCATGGCATCTCTAAAACTAAAACATATATGTAATCTAAATTTGGCCACCATTCATTTCAAATTGCTGTCCTATGTGGCGATACCAAGCTCCCAGTGTTCCTGTCACACTTGGAACATTGGAAGTCAATCTTAATCTCCTATCCTCTTTCTTCTGCCTTCCCCTCTACAGGGAGACCCAGGACTTGGTTCACCAGGCCCCCCTGGCCTTCCTGGGCCTCCTGGACCTCCAAGATCACGCAGTGTACCTGTAAGTAACACTAGTTTACGGTTTTGCCAGTTGTGTTTTGTTTGTTCAAATAATTTGGATGATACTGCATTTTATTGATGTAAACAGCATGTGGTAAGTATAGATTAGACCTGAGAGAAAGACAAACATCTCACCAAATGTGTTTCAGTACGGACCAGATGCCCTGTTGGAGGACCTGGACAGTGATACTGTACTCATCAGGGTAAGAGAAAGACAGAAATGATAACGATATCATTTCATTTACAAAGTGGGAAAAAAAATAATCATTCTCTTTCCTTCAGGGTCCTCCTGGTCCACCAGGGCCTCCAGGGCCTCCTGGTCCCCCTGGACCCCACATGTCATCGTCTGACACCCCTGAAGGCCTCTCTCCAGGGTATAATGGACCAACTGGTGTGCCTGGAAGAAATGGACTCCCAGGAAAACATGGAATACAAGTAAGTTGGGTTTCAGTTGAAGCTAAGTTAAATTATGGTAGAAATATGCAGAGCTAAGCAATGATCAACAGTGGATCTGAGTATTGTTTTCACATTGTTGTTTTTTTTTCTAGAAAATCTACTTTTCAGTGAAACTAAATGTCTTTTTATGTTTACTTCTCATATGTTAGTTGCAGTGTTGCTGCATTTCTGTCATTTTATTATCACTGAGTGTTGTCTGTTTTTCTTCGTTTCCACCTTCCAGCATCTGCTCTCATTTTAGTTGCTTTCATTGTCAATCTAGTTAGATAAACCTTTAGTTTTTTATTAAATCATACTGTAGTGATTTGTATTTGTGTATGTCAAAGTCAATGACCTGTCTGTCCTCTATCCTCCCTTTGCCTCTGCCCCCTTATTTCACCCTCTGTTATGTCTTCCTTCATCTCTGTCATCATTCTTTATTCTGTTCCCCTCCTTATTTTCTTCTACTGTTTTTATTATCTGTCACTCCTGCCATCCCTCCCTCGTCTCTATTCTGTTCCAGATGTTTGAGGATTGCTTTAGTGGTTCTGGACCTGATGGTTCAGGTTTAAGCTCAGAGTTGTCCTCTGTCCTCAGCTCAGACTTGGGCTCTGGTGTCAGCTCTGGTTTAAGTTCTGGCTTCAGTTCTGGCTTCAGTTCTGACTCCAGCTTTGGTTCTGGTTCTGGGCTTGACTGCGGGTCAGCTTGGGGTTCAGGCGAGGTACACTGACCTGGTTTGTTTGAAAAACCAGCAAACAAATTCAGAATTACAGTCAAAAGCCGGAGTATTGAGGTAGCAGTGCTCATCTGCTGGAGATAATAAATGTAAGGCTGAGACAGTCACAGTGCCAAATTTACTGTAAATCAGGTTTTTGCTTTCTCCATGTCAAACCAGTGAAACTAATAATGAAGACCAACCTTAGCCCAGTGCCTCAATGCTCAGGCAATATTGACTGTACATCATCTCCAACCATGTTGTCTTAACTGCTGGCTGGCAACCACCTAAGCTTAAACTGTTTTCACTTCACTGGCTGAAGAGTTTGTGTATATGAGTGTATATATGTGTGTGTTTGTGTGCCAGGTATCACTGCTTTCTTTTCATCTTGATAAACCCCGTGATTCATTTACTTTCTGTTCAAAAGCTGTCATAAAAAAAAAAAAAACTTGAACTGAAAGGAACTGACCACAAACCAGCCGTACACACTATTAACCCTAAAAGCCAGCTGCCTTGTGCTTGTTTCATCCAACATGGTAAAGGAAGAACTCTACTTTTCTCTTGTTGTATTTTGCTGTAAATCAACTGTTTTCAATGCACCAAGGCACACTGATGTGTTCAGATCTGCTCAAAATTGAAGAACATAATTCAGTGTGCCTTGGAATTCACACCGAAACGCATCTTATACTGTCAGTTCGTGCTAAACAAATGCTACAGAAACAATGCTGTGCTTTGGTCGAGTACTGCTCGGTTAAAGGAATACATTGAATTTCTCGAAACTTCAGCTTTCCTGTGATGTGGTAAGAAAACACGATGAAGTCATCCTCACCACTGTGTTGCTGACACCACTGCTTTATGCTACGTTTAGCTGAATGGCGGTCAGAGTGGTCTTGATCTTAAACTCTACATGGGAGATACGTTAGTTTGTTTAAATGCAGCCAGGTTTGTCAAAGTTTAAATACCATACAACGGCATTAATCTTACTTTAAAATGACACTAGTAAACAATTCCTGAACATTGTCTACACTACTCTTTATAATGTTATCATGTTATTCTCATGGTGAGAACTCAGAGCAACACTGGTGGGGATGACATCATCACATAAGGAAGCTGAGGTATATGCCAGAAATTCGATTATTCCTTTAAAGTGACCGACCGTCACCTTTGGACTTGGCGTTGCTACCTGGCTAAAGGATCAACACTGAAAAATATTTTCATACCAGCACAGTGGCTTATCACTGCTTTATCTGTGTACACTCTGCTCATGTCTGTCCGCATTTATCCAGGGTCCAGCAGGAAGAGATGGGATTCCTGGTCCACCTGGAGACGTGGGAGAAAAGGTACGACCATCAAGACGGATTGTGTCCGAGAAGCTCATTAGACAATATCTACACAAAGTGAAACTGTCCCTACTTGTCGAACGGTTTTTGAAAATGTGGACATCACTGGCCTCAAGTGACTGGCCATGGTTTCAAGTTTTTTGTTTTTATTTTAATGAAGAGGACAAGTTAGCGATTGTTGACGTATGATACTGATGACAAGTGCTTTTCTGATACTGTTCCATATACACGTCACACTGTGTTTTGGACGGCGTCTGTCAGTACTGATGTTATATTGTCTTGATGTTACTTGTTCAAGAAGCCATTTTCATTCTTTGTTCTTACTTCACATCTTTAGGGTGACCAAGGGATACCTGGGCCACCTGGTCCAAAGGTAATTTATATTACTCAAACTAGAGTAACGCAAAGAAAGTTTGCATGCTGTGCACATGTGCTTTCACCAGAATAAACATTGTTCTTGTTCTGAACAGAAAAACTGCTAAATGTCAGTGAGGCACCTGTTGCTGATAGCAGTGTCTTGTTTGTATGTGCAGGGTGAATGTGGCACTGTGGGGGAAGAAGGAACTCTAGGACTCCAAGGGCCTATTGGTCCACCAGGAAAGAGGGGCCCAGCAGGTCCTCCAGGACCCCCTGGCCCACCTGGCCCTCAAGGAACCAAATTCTTTGCTGAGGTGAATCCATTTTATATCAGGCACCTGCCGTCCACATAACTCCTACTCTTCAGCTCTATTTTAACTGATAAGCTGAGAAGGAGATCATGAGTTACTGTGGAATAGGAAAGAGCTAAACCTGACATCGTCCTCTCCACGTGGGTCACTGTGTAACATCAGACTGTGTTTTTGTTTACAGGATATGGAGGGATCTGGAAAGAGCGACATGCTCATTGGAGCTGGAGTCAGAGGCCCACAGGTCAGTGTGAGCGTGTGTTTATGTGCAGTGTGTGTATTGTTTCATATATTGCAAATGTTTTCTGTTTTGTACTTTGTAGGGTCCACCAGGCCTACCTGGGCCTCGGGGGCTACAGGTAATTAATTTATGAATATTTGTTTGCATTGTGCTTGGAGAAAGTAGCTAGCATGACTTTAACAGTTGATAATACTATATGCATGGTTCTTCTGTGAGTGGGCTGCTTTTGCATGAACTTTGTATTTTTCTCATTGCTTTGTTTATGAAGATACTCTCTTGTGTCTTCTGTAGGGTGGGGATGGAGCTCCAGGCGCACCAGGCCTCTCTGTCAAGGTAAATTAGCTTTAAAACGTCCCTCAGAATTATTTTTCATCATACAGTACATGATCTCATCTATTTATTCTCAGTCGTTAATGTTTATATTTGGCAAACGACAGATGTTAATTTAGAGATTTTTACACTATTCTCATTATCTGTTTAAGGCCACTGTCCTGTGCTGACACACATTTTCCCCATTTGTAAAAGAGTCTTGTTAATATATGTTGAATAGACATTTATAATTAAATGTATGTAAGTATACAGTCCCAGGTAAACACGGTACAGTGAAATCACTTTGACCCTGTGTTACCTGTGATTGCAGGGTGAACCAGGGGACCCAGGACCGGAGGGTCTTCAGGGTCCTGCTGGACTACCAGGTGCTCGGGTGAGTAACAGGTGTTAGATGGAGGTAATATGGCTCTAAGTAGGGTTGTCCAAATGTAATGTTGTGGACAGATATGGAAGTGTCATGGATCATTTACAGTCATGAATAATGTAAGGGATTATAATGTGAAACTCTGCTATTGTATTAGTGTAAAAAAAAAAAAAAAAAAATGCTATTGTATTAGTGTAAAAAAAAAAAAAAAAAAGATTAAGCTGCTGTTCATAACTTGCACAGCATCAAATAGGAGACAGTTCACAGTTTGCAACAAACTCGTGACCATAGCGGAGCATGAAGCAGCTCAAGGGCTGAATATTTCCCTTCAGAGCTGGTGGAGACCAAAAACAGAGATAAAAGAGTGCAAATAATACTTCCTTCTACATCCGACTGGTAGCATGAAATACAACTTCAAATAGAAATTCATGTCTCTCTGTAACAGCTGAGTCTAAAACTACACAACTGTTTGCTAAGTAGTTCAAAAGTAATTGTTCTGTTCACGATTTGTTAAAATGTAAAACTCTTCCTGTGTAATGATGAAATCTTTTTATCTGTGAATGTTCCAATTAGCATTTTTTAAACAGGAGGATGTATGCAATGCAGTGTTAACGCTGTTCTATGCGGAGTGTGACCAATACGTCCTTCTCTTTACAAACAGGGGGCCAAAGGAGACAAAGGCAGTCCAGGACCTCAGGTAGAGTTGCAAAACCAAACCAGTGTACAGTTTGTTTCACTTTCTGGACGCAGCTTAATGCAATTTTAGTTGTATCATACACTTCATGTTCCTGGTTGCTGCTGCCTTGTCTATGATGTTTACTACCTTTACAATTATTTTTTTAAAAGAACTAATTAGTTCACATTATGTGTACTGCAGGGTGATCGAGGCGTTGATGGACTCAGTATCCCAGGACCACCTGGGCCTCCTGGACCTCCTGGATCTGTCTTGAATCTACAGGATGTATGCATGCTGCGTTTTTTTCTTTTTTTTTTCTTTAACAAATCTCTGTGTGTTCTAAAACTGAGAACCCAGATGTTCTTTTTGCAGCTGCTCCTCAATGTTACAGAAGGTATCTTCAACTTCACAGAGATCAGAGGACCACCAGGGCCTATGGTGCGTAGCTTTTAGCTACTAATACAAAGTGACTGTTTCTGGTGCCTTTCTATGTTTTAAAATCCAGATTGAAATTTCTGCTAACAATGACAGCAGGAGGCCGATGAGGGGATTACAGAAGCTGTGACATTGTTCTTAGTTAAACATTCACTAAAGCTACAAAACGCAGAGCTGACATTATGGGATGTGCAGTTTAAAAGCAGTTTGTGAATCCTCATCTCTCCTCCTCTTGACATGCTCTCAGGTCATCATTGCCATTTTAAGTTGCTGTGGCTGCAGATGTGTTTGGTGATGCTGTGCATGAGCGTGACATGTATTAATAGCAGAAGAGATAAATAACCCTTTTGCTTTTGCTTTTATGTGTACTTTTGTCTGTCTGCAGGGCCCTGAAGGTTTGCCTGGCAGAGCTGGATTTCCAGTAAGATCACGTTGCTACACCACTCTATGCTGAGTTTGTGTTCCACCAGTTAACTGAGTTCAGACAGTTTTGGATGCAAACAGAGATGCAACAATTATTTGAATGCAATGTCATGATGTTTTTTTCAATTTTGCTTTTGCTATCTTTGGGCTAAACTGGGTAGGTTCATGAAGCACTGCAAATCTTACTGACACCTTCAAGATTACTCAAATAAAATTTTAGATGCTGGAAAAATAATAGTTTCATGGGTATCTTTGCTACACCGCTCAGCTTTGCCTGACCATGGTTTTATCCCTCGTCAGGGCCCTAGAGGACCTAAAGGGGACCTGGGACTTCCAGGTGTCCAGGGGCCATCAGGGATTAAGGTGAAGCAAAATATGCTCTGTAATAAATATTGTTCAATAAATATTTATTTATCCAGGCAGAAAAAAAACCTTCTGCGATGTACAAAAATATCATACAATAGTTTCTGTTTATTTGCTTTAACAGGGAGAAAAAGGAGAACCAGGAGTGACTATTGCTGCTGATGGCTCGATCTTGTCTGCACCTAGAGGGCCTCAGGGGCCCAAAGGCATAAAGGTACCAGACCAATAATCCTTTACCCCTAACTAACTGGCTAGTCATTTACCTACTAACTAACTGATGCGTATACCCTCACTGTATTAGGCTAAGTCAACGCTTAAACCCACTGAGATGCTACACCTGGATGATCTTAATGACGTGTTGCACCATGTTCTGTGAATCAAAGGCAGGGATCAAATTTGTCATTAGACTTTGTCATTCATGTGGATAACTGAGCTCTAACATATTTAAAATACACCACAAACAAGGTCTCACAGAACATTATTGTGGCAACCTGTTGCTTCAGCTTTCAGAAAACTGTTCACCGTTCTGGGCAAAACACCTAAAAAGAAAAATACTGGTTCCCACTTAAACAACTGAGCTCCAGTTGGCTCCTTCAGTTACTGCACTGGTCAAAGACAAAGGTGATATATCCAGTACTGGGACCATATGTGTCCTGGTTAGTCATGAGAGATTATTTCATGAAATTCAATACAGTTTTATTTAAATAGCACCAACTCACAACACAAGTCATCTCAGCGAACTTCACATGATGAGGTTCACACTCTACAATGTTGTATTAAAGATAGAAACCTAACACATCCAAAGATTCAGGGAGAGCAGACATCTGCCTCAACCAGCTGGGGTGAGGGTAAAGGACAGCAGAAACAAACTTGCATCAGAGATCAATAAGAACTGTGGACGTTGGTGAAGTCATTTACCACAGATCAGAAACTTGTAGCTTCGCAGCCAGAAATACCTGCAGAGAGGACAAAACATAAAACTACAGGAGAGAGAAGACATAATGTTAGTGACATGCAACGGTGGCATATAAATGTATGGAGTGTGAAAGAGACGAGTAGAAGAGAAGCCATGTGGGCTTAAAGCACCATGACTAAGGGATGGTTCAGGGTCACCTGAGTCAGTCCAACCTATAAGGATCATTCTATGTCAAATGATCAAATTCTGAGAACAATTAAAGCTCAACCATCTTTGATTTGCCTGAAAATTTTACAGCATAAAATATTGATATTTATGAAGATATTTGGAAAATTTTAGTTTGGCATATCAACTACTTTCCAAAATGTTTATTTTAAATTGACCCACTTTCAGTCGTTTCTTTTTTTCACACAAATACATTTGTGGCTATCTTTGTATGACAGTATTTATATAATAATTACAAATTATAATAAATATAGCAGAGCTCAGAGCTTTTAAGGAAGCTGAATGGGGTTGAGCTGGTTGAAACTACAGCCAGAGAAATTTACTGAAAACATGTTCATTTCTGCCAGTTATTTTATTCTCTACATGCCACATTTAGCTGGATTCTCATTTAACATTTTGCTGTACTTGCTTTGAATTTTCACAGGGAGACCGTGGCTTCCCAGGATCTGCTGGACTCATGGTGAGTCTAAATTAAATACATTTATATGTTTCATTAGCACTGTCAATAGACACTTAGAACAAATCTAGTCTGATTATTAATAAAGTCTTGAAAAATTATTCAATAAGAAGGGCTTACTGATGTTCACGTGCAGATTATTTAATGTGTGTTTATTTTTTATTTCAGGGCCCGATTGGACCTACTGGACAAAAAGGAGAATACGGTTTCCCTGGACGCCCAGTGAGTACTTTTATTGGTCATACTGTATATTGTAAGGAAATGAACACCTCTAGAGTCTTCTGAACAGGTATACAGAATAAATATCTGAAGCCACTGTAGGAGATACATTCAATGACAATATTTGTCAGTGTAAAGATTATTCTTTCTATTGTTGCAGGGGCGACCTGGTATCCCTGGGAGGAAAGGTGACAGAGGAGATTCTGTCGGCCTGCAGGTAAGAAAAGGAGGGAATGCAAAGAGCACTATCGTCCAGCCAAAGCATCAATATTGTACATCAGCGCATTTAACAATTATCAATCCCAGGTGTATTCACACATAACTCAGATTTTAAAACCAGACAATCTTTTTACAAAGTGGATCACATGACTGCTTGGATATGAAAGAGGCTGTTTATTTGTATTTAGAATTGACTCTTCAGTTATCAGCTCTAATAAACATTTCAGTGAAATGATCTTTAAGCTAGTTTTTCAGCTTTCCAGCTCAAAAACCCTCCTCAGCCTTGTTTCTAGCTAAACAGCTATTTTCAGTGAAACCACTAAGTAACACCAGAGACAGTTAGACAGCTAGCTGGTGAACACGCTGGAAGATTTAACAGCTAGACTGCCAGATTAGTTCAGGGATGGTAGAAAGGAAGCAAAAAAAATGAACTTAACAATTATCTGCTAAACACAAACACAGCAAAAAATTTAATATTAGTGTTCTTTCACATCTACTTCTTGTGTAAATAGGCCACTGTTCACTGACCACCAAATCATCTTTATAAGTCACTTTTGTGATTCCTGCTTCTGCTGCTCCAAGGTGGCCATAAAACTCTGTCATTGCAAGTTTAAAAAGAACAGTTTAATGAAACATGAATGCATGCCTTTACTTTGATTGGATATTTGACATGTGTTGTCTTGTCTCGTGAACAAAATGTCGCACTCTAAACCCTTAGGGATTTGACCTTTAATGTGTATAATAAATATTCTGACTCTCTTCCTCTCAGGGACCTCCTGGTCCTCCCGGTCCACCTGGACTTCCAGGAAGAATTCTGGGTCTGAATGGAGTAAGTATGAATTATTGATTCACAATATATCAGTGGCTGGTTTATTGCTCAAATATTTCCAAACAACAGCATTTCAGTAAATGATTCTGTCTGATAATGCGGAGCGTAGCCGTGGAGAGGCGACACCACTGGTTCTGAATGGTGGAATCAGGATTGGTTAGGCCATGGTTCATCTCCATTTTCCTGCCATCAGTGTTTAATACATGTTTAATATAGCTTCACATCACCAGCTGGCATTTACAGCATCACAAGCCAAGACGGACAGATCTTGTGTGTGTTTTGTCACGATACGAAAAACTGTTCTGGAGTCACTGAACACTGTTAATTCAACATCATATACTATCTACCATATAGTGACACTGGCCAAATCCAAATCCAGTCTGTGTATACAAGTGGGAAAGTCCTATGAAAGCTCTATAAAAGCAGATCTGCTACTAATCTGTTGTTGAGAAATAGAATAGAATAGAATAGAATAGAACAGAATAGAATAGAATAGAATAACTTTCTTTAATCCCCAAGGAGAAATTTGGTTATTACAGCACAAAGAGTAAAGTTACCACCATAAATACTGAAAAATAAGCAAAAATAAACAATAAGAAAAATATAAAATGCAAAATGTTCCCATTTGATTGTTCCTATTTTTAAAAATTGCATCGCCTTTTCTTCTTAAATCTAAATAATACCATAGTATTAAAGTGTCTTTGTATTAGTGCTAAGTAGTAGCTGCTGTAGCTCTGTTATTATTAATTAGTTGAATTTACTGAAAATACCCAGACCAATAGAGCAGGTTTTGCCGAATTATCACTGTTAATATTTTATTGAAATCAAATGATCTTCCCATTTTAATCCATGAAGAGATTCCAAGTTCATGTGTCGTATTTATGTGGGAATAAGTGGTAATTCTCAGGTCTCTGTGGTGGAAGAAATACTCAAATCAATATATAAATACAACTAAAACTACAAGCAAAAGTCCTGCATTTGAAATTGTACTTGAGTAAAATAAACAAGTATTGGATGAGTGCTGCCGGGACACAGTACTCGGCTGGTGTCGTTAGTGTTATTGTACATTTAAATGTCTTTGAATTAACATTGTTTGATGAGTCCAGAAGACCAAATTTTGAAGTAAAAATGCCAATCAAAAGCACATGATGTGGCTGACTTGGCTCACAAATAGTATTTAGAAGCAACACTGTTTCTACACACCACATGTAAACAAATTCTCATCTACTGTTTTTGACTTTTTTTTTTTCAAATGATGGGTGATTAACTTGAAGCATTTAGTCTGATCACGCTGCTCTTCTTTGAATCTTAAAGACAGTGTTCCCGGTGCGCCCCAGACCGCACTGCAAAAAGGGACGAGTAAGTCTGAGTCGGACCATCTGATTGGTCCGTTTCAGTTGGAAATCGGGCCATCTGGTGGTTCTGTTGGTGTGTGGGTTTCACAGCATGGCAGCTCTCTGGTCTGGGCTACAAACATTACCCCATTCCTCTCCCCCCCTTGTTATACCTCCCCTTCATTTCCTCCCTCTTTGTTCCTCTAATGGTCTTTGAGAAGGTTTCTGTGGATCTGACCTCATTTCATCAGGCTCTAACATTTGTCTTGCATACAGGTTGTATCTAGAATACCAGCAATCCACAAGTATCCTAAAAAGCTATTTGTGTAGTTCTTGAACATTTAAATCTAGAATTCAAATGTTTTCGTTTTATCCAATCTTACCACAAATGTTAATGCCACGTGTCAAAGGGGGTCTGAGTCCTGCTTGCCTTGTCTGACCTTTCCCTCCTCGTCATCTCAGGGAAGAGGAAGCAGGATGAATCTCTGACAGGGAGGAGTGAAAACAGACACTGTTGATACTCATCCCTTTACTGTGTGTAGATCAGAGTTGGTTTCATGTCACTTTTCAGCTCAGTCGATTTAAAAAGCAGAGATTCCTTTCCCTGCTGTCTTTAAAGATGTGGCTTATAGCAAGTTTTCCCTTCTAATTTCAGCCAGCGAGAGTGAGATGAATCCCTCTCTGATCTGCATGCTGTGAGGTAGATAAATGAGGTTCTTGAATTCTACAGTCACTTTCTTCACGGTGCTCGGTGTGTGGGTTCTGTTTTACTCTTCAGCCTCTTGTTTCTTCTGTGGAGACACAGTGGGCTGTGGGCACCTTAATGACTGCTTGGCTAACAAACTGGTGAAGGCACTAAAAGGGGATTATGGGTAGCTAATGACATAGTGTTGGTTTGTTCCATAGATTTAGTCACTTAAAGTTGTCAAGGTGTTTGCTGACAGTGACGATAAAATGAAACTTCTCTAATCTCTTCCGTAAAATGTTCCTGCTTTAACCTTAATCCCTGTATTAATAGCGGTGTGAGGGCTGTACGTGCTGCTGCATATAGCATGCATCCCTTGTATTTAACAGGTGTTTTTGCAGTGTTGACATCTTTGTGTTCAGCCCAACTTTTATTCTGTTTAACACGGGCTTCTCGACTTTCACGAGCAGGTAAATCTACAGTGTGTGCTTATATGTGCACCTGCTGCCACAAATGCTATAGTGATGAGTGTGTATGTGTGTGTGTGTAGGAGTCAGTGACAAGGGGAGATTCATTTGGGCCTAAAGGAGACAAAGGAGACGAGGGATTACCTGGTGAGCCGGGGACACCAGGTAAGAAGCAAACAACAAACATGTCACTTAGAGCTGCTGACTCGCCTCCACTTGGGATTTAGACTGACTAGCTTAGAAGCTCATATTTATATTGGTATAAAAGCATTTGTGTCATTTTTCTCCTCAGCACCAAGGTTTCCAGACGGGATTGTGGTGAGTATGGATTTATTACACCTTATATATCGAAGGTCAACAGAAGAATCAATCAGCAGCATCTTAAATGAAGACATCGTTCTCATGAGACAAGAATCTGGAAGTTTTGTGAAGTCAAGTGAAGCCTTCTTAAAATTCTATGTTAGAGCTATTCAGTGGGGATTTCTGTCAGGTTAAAGTCACACTAATGACAACTTTTATGTGAACAATGGATGAAATTCCTTTGTGAAATATGAGAGAGATTGCTTCTACTGACAACTCCACAGAGCGTTATCGACCACCTCTCAGTTCCACTCTCACTGCTCTCTACAAAAAAAATAAGTTCTGATAAACTCACTGTTCTCTCCCCGCTGAGCCCCACAAGACACGCAGACAAAATCAATCAACCTCTGAACACAGTTGCAGCTAAAGAGCCAGATATTTCCCTCAGGGGTTGGTGGAGACCCAAACCAAGCTAAAATGAAAGCGACGCCAGAAACATGACGGCAAATGCAGACTTGCGTAGCTCTGTGTCTGCTGGATGTGTAAACTGGCAAGTCCTTTACTAACCATCATGATCGCAGTCATGACTTGACACAGTCATGATGCAGTGAACAAGCTGTAAACCGGATTAAGTGATTATTTCTTGCTAAGATGTTTTTTTATATTTTGGGAGAAAAAAATCACTAAACAATAAAAATGAGATGAGGCCCTTGATGCTACTAAACTTGTCTTTAAATAAGAATGTAGCTGATGGTTGCTGTTTTTTCTCTCAGGGAGCTCGAGGCGATCAGGGATACAAAGGTCAGAAGGGAGACAAGGGAGACTCGGGTCAGCCTGGTCCTCCGGGACTGCCAGGGAGGTCAGGACTTGTGGTGAGTTAAGCTACTTCCTGTACACCAAGTCCAGAACTGGAGTTTTTTGGACGTATTATTGCATTCTTGAAATTGCTGAACACTGATTTCTGTGAGGCTGCTTGTGGGTACATCACATTTGCAAAGTAAATATTGGGATGCATTGAATTTGTCTGTTTCTATGTTCCTCTAGGGTCCAAAAGGCGAGTCCATCGTCGGCCCTCCAGGTCCTGTTGGTTCTCCTGGTGAGCCTGGAGCCCCTGGATTTGGACGACCTGGATCTCGAGGCCCCCCTGGCCCTGCTGGGCCCCCAGGTCCTCCGCCTCCTTATGGATCAAGTATGTGTGTGTATAAAAGAAGAAAAAGTGATACGTCTCAGCTTCATTTCAGTAAAACTGCTGCTCAAACTTCATAATTGTGTTCAGGTGAAGTCAGCTGGTTAGTTAATTATAAATCTGTTGTGGTCACCAGCTGTCAGCGTCCCCGGCCCCCCTGGTCCTCCGGGTCCGCCAGGCTCTCCAGGATATGCCAACCCGGTGAGAAACTCAAAATGCCTTTCCATTGGAGCTACACAGATAAACAAATGAACATGTTACCTTTCAAAGTGCCACAAAGGTTCAGCACTGATGCCGTGACGGTTTGTGTTCAGGTGACCACCTATAAGACGATCCACGCTCTCAACAGAGAGACACACCGAGCTGCTGAGGGAACCTTAGCGTACGTTTCTGAAAAGGGAGGAGAGCTGTACATCAGAGCACGCAACGGCTGGCGCAAGATCCAGGTGTGTGTTGTGTGTGATTTACAGTATATAATGTACAACATACTATCAAGACAGAAGCCTGCATGTTTTATATGGTCTGTGAGTGACTGTATATTTATGTATCTGCTTAGAAAAAGTAGAAATACGAAGTGGAGAGTTCAGTAGACAGAGCAACTTTGGGTCAGTTATCTTTTCTGTTAAAAGGTTGGAAACTTGAGTTAAACACAATCATATTTTCAATTAAGCAACACACTTTAGAGAATGGCTTAAACATGAAATGAGTGAATGAGTTTTAAATGGACCAACTCAATATATCCAACTCAACTAGTCACCAAACACCGTCATGTTCTGGCAAACAGACTGTGTACACGTACATCTGTCCGTTTATATATTATGTGATGTTTTTGCTCATGAATGTGTACGTATGTCTTTTTTCTTGCTCTTTGTTCTTGCTGTTTGATCAGAATTCTGTTTTTTAAAGCTCAGTTGCTGATTTTGATAAGTTATATCATTTTAGAAGAAACAGGAAAACACAAATGTCCCTGTATTCTTCTGTTTGGGTTTTAGCCGCTGTGGTGGCAGTGAATGTCAACGGTAATCTTTTAATTAAGTCACAAAATGCCAAAATCTCACACTTTGTTGTGTCCTCCAGCTCGGAGAGTTGATCCATCAGGGAACTTCCTCATCAGAGGCGTCTCAGGCCCTCAGCAGACCTGGAGACTGGGGTCGACCACACAGGATCCACAGCCAGGTGCGCACACACACACACTGTAAACACACAAACAGAGGAAGGAAGGCACGAGCCCATCTCTGGAAACACCTTTAAACATCTGATTCATTACAGAAAAACATAAATCATGTGACTTATTCCTGTTTTGGTTAAACAGGAGCTGCAGGAGGGCAGTCGAGGGTATCAGCCCAGCTACAACGTGCTGCCGCAGACCTCCAGCGGTGTACCCGGGGTGAGTAACACGTTTACAGCTACAAACACAGACATACATTTTGATCTCCAGACCCAGCTGCAGCCTTACTGTGTTACACCTGACTTCATGCAAGATCTGTGATGTCGGGGGTGTGTTTCCTCCTCACCTCTGTTTTTCGTTTTCCAGCTCCATCTGGTAGCACTGAACGCCCCGCTCAAAGGGGATATGCGGGGCATCCGCGGGGCAGACTTCCAGTGCTACCAGCAGGCGCGCTCCATGGGCCTGACAGCCACCTACAGGGCCTTCCTGTCCTCACACCTCCAGGATCTGGCAACCATTGTGAGGAAGGCGGACCGCAATGAGATGCCAGTGGTTAATCTGAGGGTAAAGGAGATGATTTAAATTCAGAATTTTCCTCAAACACAACACAGATTTCTCTTACTGCAGTATGTTTCACTGTGCTGATCGCTCCTACAGAATATTTTCTTTTGCTTTTCATTACTTTGAGTTAAAGAATCGCACTCATTGTGTTCCTGCAGGTTCACTTATCAGTCTTGATAGGTGACACACTTGCTGTTGGCATCTCTAAAGTTAATCCTGCCCCTCTCCTCCTGCTCGCAGGGTGAAGTGTTGTTCAGCAGCTGGATGTCCATCTTCGCTGGGAACGGAGGCGTCTTTGACCCGTCCACACCCATCTACTCCTTCGACGGTCGCAACGTGATGACTGACTCGGCTTGGTGAGTGGGAGGGAAGCAAGTATGCTGTATGAATGCAGGGAGATACAAGTCAGTCCTCCAAATGTATGACTTCATGAGCTCTAATCTGACTTAAAAAAAAAGCTGTACAAAGCTTTTACTACATGCGTTTATTAAATATGAGCCAGAAGAGTGGACACAAAACAAGCAGGGCAAGACAGAGGATGCTGTGATGGAGGGGAAATATAAAAGAGAAATATAAAGAGCTATCAGACCCACTGGCTTTCAATTTGTCCAGCTGATCAGAAAAATATAAAGAATCTCATAAATACAAAGTCACAAACAGCAGCCACTCGGTGCAGCTGATTTGAAGCGTTACATCAACACCTGCATACATTCTCACCAACTTCCTGCTTAAGGCTGCAAGAATTGCAGGACTGAATACACCTTGTATCACCTAATGCCTATATGTATATCACAGACCTAAGAAGACAAACACATCTCCGTTTTTCACTTACAAGAATTCTCTGCTGCCCAACGACAACAGCACAAGTCACTTACATTGTCGAGAAGAAAAACAAACATCTGCCAACACTCATCTCGGTTTTTGCTGTGAGCTTGATCTCCAGGAGACAACACCTCTGACAGGTGTTAGATAATGATGACGATTTATTTAAATTCAGCAGTTTAAAAATACTCCATTACAAGTAGAAATGTCAGAAAAATGTACTTGAATTCCCTGTTGAATCAGAAAAAGGCCCCTGTGATGACCAGATATATAAGCGGGTTAGTCCGAGCTATAACTTGATGTGGAGCTACCTTTAACTACTTTATACACTATTAAGCAACATACTGTAAATTCTGGACTATAAGCCACTACTTTTTTCACATGCTTTGAACACTGCGGCTTAAACAATGATGTGGCTAATTTCTGGATTTTTACGAATTTGCCTCGAGACCAAAGTGACATTGAGTTTTAAAAAATCTGTGTAAATATCTCATGTTACAACATGGACGCCTGCGGCTTATAGACAAGTGCAGCCTGTATATGCAACAAAAACATTTTCTTTTGAAAGTTAGTGGGTGCGGCTTATATTCAGGTGCGCTCAATAGTCCGAAAATTACGGTGGTGTATGATATTTTACCAGCCTATCATATATTAATCTATGACAAAACTGCAAACTGTGAAGCATGGCTGTTGGTCAGGTGTCTAGCTGGGTGAGCATTTGGAGAACACAGACATGGAAGAATATCGTAAGTAACTGCAGATCAAAAAAAAGGAGGAAGGACAGACTTCAAATCCTGAACTTCTCCTCTCACTCTTGACCTAAACGTGCCTCTTTTAACCTCTCATTCTCTCTTAACGTTACACCTCTCCAGCTCTCATCCTCCTTTTCCCTTCCCAGCCTCCCTTCGCTCAGATGCGACACCCTCACTAACTCCGTCTCCTCGTTCCCAACAGGCCCGAGAAGCTGGTGTGGCACGGCTCCAGCACCGTGGGCATCCGCCTGACCACCAACTACTGCGAGGCGTGGAGGACGGGCGACATGGCGGTGACGGGCCAGGCCGCCCTGCTGCAGACGGGACGGCTGCTGGGTCAACACGCGCGCTCCTGCTCCAACCACTACATCGTGCTGTGCATAGAGAACACATACGTGGGGAACTCGCATCAAAGGAGGAACTGAGGAGGCGGAGCGAACACACATGCAGGCATGCTGAAAGTAGAAAATGTGACACATGAATGGGGAAACACATGCAGGCACATACACACACACGCTGACAGACGGCGGTTCTGGTCATATACGTGCAAACACAAAACACTCACACATTAACATGCAGAAGCAGGAAACACACATCCCTTTAGTTTTGGTTTCATGTTTAGCTCCCACTTGAAGCCAGGAGTGACCCAGCAGTTTAAATTGCTGCCACATATCCGTCCATGTGTAGATTTCACCTATTTCTAGTCATTATAACAGCACAACGTGTCGTTACAGAGAGCTGTGGGATTTGTTGACAGTAGAAGCGAGTAACTTAAAGCACCATACCAGTGTTTTTGCACTGTGCGCTTTATACTTTTATCACAGTTTTCTGGTGTTATTTTGGTTTTTTTACAATTCCAGGCAGCCATGTGTGACGTCTAGAATAAACTAGCAGAACATAACATACAGTAGGTCTTAAAGCAAATGGGCTAAAACGAGCAAAATCACAGGTATGGTCCAATAAGTCGCTGTCCTTTGTCTTCCTGTCACCAGCACTAGTGTGGATTTTTCATTTTTTATGGAACAGAATGAATTTCAATCTCTGTTTTTTATAAATATATATAATTATTATCACAACAACAGTATTGTACTTCAGATCCTTGTGCATCAGGACTATCTGCAGGTTACGCCAGAAATAAAAGAGTCAGATGTAAAAAGACATTTAGGATGATGATTTTACTTTCAAGAAAAAGGCTGGTAAGGTTTGGGTTTTTCATGGAATTGGTTGACAGTAACAACAAAATGAGAGAATTTGGAAACACTGCACTCACATAATGACATATTTCTTAGACGTTTTTTTTTGGGATGTCTAATGTCTAATGCCAGACGAGCCCTGTCTCACTCTCAGCTCATCTCATACTGCATATTATTAACCATTTACTGCTTTGAAGCGATTAACCTCGGCTGCGCGTCGTCGTCAGAAGGTGGCGGTACAGGCTACGTTACACATGGCTGCAATGAACAGAGTAGAAGATGCTGGAAGCAAACCAACCGCTACAGTAACTTTAAATAAGACAAAAAAGAACAAAACTATGCCGTAAAAGTCTGAATTATTCGTTTGTGTCAGCTGGTATTGGTCGCGTTTCGGTCCAGAGACAAAGACAATGAAAGAAGCAGGAACAAAGTGAGGTAAATTTGTCAGAACTTACTCAGAAAATGTATTTCTAGCTCCCATGAAGCGCAACAATTGGTTCACAAATTCTATTTTTGTGAAATTGGCTACCTTTAAAAAAAAAACAAACACTTTTTTTATGTGCTACTTTGAAAATGTGCATCAAAATACATCATGGAAAGTTTTTTTTTTGTTTGTTTTTTTTAACAAATCGGCAGTATTTGATGACCTGGTACCAAAAGGAGGCTGGGTCAGACAACAATAACACAGGAATCTATTTCATGTGGTCATGCTGTAGCTGTAAATACACCGTGACTGAGTTCCTCATGGCAAAATCGTCCAACCACAGCTTCACCTGCATTTCTTCCATTTTTTTTCTCTGATCACTAAAAAGACAAAAACAATTTACCACTAAGACCTTCCCTCTAACTACATATTAAACCAATACCAAACAGATTAATTAAAAGAAATAAATAAAAGGCGCACTAGACCGTGTCAATTACTGCTTATTTTATATACAACTGAAGGCTTAATCGCAGTGTGGCGCCCCCTGCTGACAGCTTTGTTTACATCTTTTTATCAAACAGGGTCCTTGTAAATTCAAATAATTTCCAGGAGAATATGTCAAACTTATCCTGTTTTCTGCTGAACTTTAGTCTCGCTGCTTGCAATAAAGTGATTTGAACTAGTCTCACCATTAACACGTCTGCTTTATAACCTTAGAGTTAGAGTCGAAATCAACGTGTGATCTTCATTAATTTATACTGTAGCGGGACCTAGTGTGAAGACATAGCAAGTTCACATTCAGATTTTGATGAAGTCGGGGGATGTATATAAATATATATAAATATGTGTGTGCGTGTGTATGTGTGTGTTGTTAATGTCCAGATGTTGTTTTTTACTCCGTAGATGTAGGTTTTGTATGAAGCACACTAAATGACCGAGGGTTTCCTCTCACCACGCTTTGATTGAGACGTAGTCGCCGAGCTCTGCCTGTAAAGATGAGTGTTAGTGTTTCTGCTGTCTGGTTCTGATGTTTCTGTTCGAACAAAACTTGAGCTTCTGAGGAAACAGAAGGTTTGTACTGACTGACTGGTGCTCACTGAATAAAATGTCTTATTTTCTGTGTGTTTTTTTAAAAAGGAGTCTCTTTCAATGTGTGTTGATCGAAACTTTCTCTTCCAGAGCTATTTATGGTTTTAAATGACACACTAGTCTTCACAAAAGGATGGGAGCTCCATTTATTATAGCGATGTGAGGTGTGTTCAGTTAAAGGTTTAGGTAGCTTGACCCACTTGGCCATCAAATGCAAACGGGGTGAACATCTCAGTCGACAGAGGGCGGAACTCTGACATTGGTGTCTTCAAACTTCAAAAAACTTTTCACATAAACTCTCCTGCATCGCACATGATTAACTTTACTCAAGTGTTAATGGATCCTTAAGGATGTAAGTATCTGGAACTCCCAACTAGTCAGTCATGAGAGGTGAAACATCTTCAAGAAACTCAAGCAAGTCCAGTTGCTACGACTAAACTACGAGAATAACTTTAGTGAAATGCTCTTTATGCATGGTTGGAATTTGAAAAAGTTTGACACAGTTAAGGTAAAAATTGTCCATACCCACACCAGATTTTAATTTTAGTGAATTTTTATTTGATCGATACGTTTCTTGTGGCTGGAAATGACAAAAATAAGCAACCAAGGATGGATGGATGGATGGATGGAACTAGTCCCCACCACAGCAGCCATGGATCTATTTCGACCGACTGCATGATTTGTTGCACGTCTCTTTTCCGCACCTTACATTTCTCTAATCAACTGCACCTTAATAAAGGCCAAAAATGCTCCCCAAAATAATTTACAAAATTAAGAAAATGCAGCTTCTACAGCATTCCAAGTGGTCTTGGTCTTTCTAGGATGTCCCAGAGCACCCTGACGCACTATAAACTGAAATAAACAATGCAGTAGTTCTCTAACCAGTTACTAGTCAACAGCAAGCCATTGCTAAAACCAGAGTTTAGTCAACTTAACATAAGGAAAGACTTAAAAATCATGTTCAAGTGTTTTCAAAGGCCAGTTTCTACGGAACAAAGCAAAAAGTCCAAGAAATTCTAAACTGTGAAACATCTCAGATGGTGTGGCAGGAAGCCACAGTGACCACTGTGCTGGAAAAAACAGTAGAAACCAAGAAGAATCCAAGAATCACCAACAAGCTGATAAATCTGAGCAGTTCTGCTACAAACACGTCAAGACAGACGCTGAACAAGCTGGTCTTCATGGACAGTCACACAAAGGCTCACCTGAACATAAAACAAAGCTGCTGGTTACCACTTTGTTGCAAAGAGAGGTGGAGGTAACACAGTGAGGACAAAACATTACACTGGGAGAAAAAAACCAACAACTTTTATATGCAGTCTCTAAAAAAGAAATAACAAAGGAAAACTTACATGACATTAACACAATATTGGTTTGTGCAGTGCTGAGTGGTGCTGCCTTCAGAGCAAACCGTTCCTCTCCCAATAAACTCCTCTATATAGGAAGTCTTCCCAGTTCAAACCGGCCAATCAGATCAGAGCTCGAGAAGTACATCTACAAAGTTCACAACATCTACACAACATCTTCCAACAGCAACGCCTCACATCACAGACACACAATCAGTCACCAACACTGTCAAGTTATTTGGGCTTTGAAATCAGTTCTGCCTAAAAAGGCTTGGAGGAAGGTACAGATGACGATTGGGGCAACTCAGCTCTTCTTTGCTTTGCTTTAATTTAATTTTATGCATTAGTATGACATAACATACAGAGTAGCAACAAAAGCAGCAGTAGCAGCAGGTTGATAAGCTTTAAACACACAAACATAACATCAGTTATTGCTTTAAACCTTTCAAAGAAAATAAACAACCTCATAACATTTCTTCAACCACATAGCATCACTATTATCAAATTAAAACCAGGAGTTCAATCAAAATTGCATCTTAAATTGCTAAACAGTCATACCAATAGCATTTCTGTAAGTCCTCCACACTGATGTCACCCTGCAGCGTGGAATCCTTTACTGGTCCACCAGAACACACACAGCCTCCACCAATTTATCTGATTATCAGTCACCTGACCTTTCAGCTCAGCGCTGCCCTCAACTGTCACATTATAAGAACTGCCTTAAATGTTTGAGTTTTGGGTTAACTCATTTTACTTTTAACTAAACTAAATACTGAACATACAAAACAGACATTTGTAGTCTGTATTTATCTTAATGACTTTGAATTTCATCACACATCTATTGTCCAATCAGGTTTGAGGCCACACCCACTCATCAAACACATTAGAATAAGCTGCTGTAGAGGCGTGGCTCTTCTTAAAGATGGCCTCCACAACTCTGACAGGTGAGTTCATCCCTGAAATATATGAACGACTGGGGAGGTGAAATACTGATGCTGCCGTCTGTTGTTTCAGTATATTTAATGTCATTTGTAGTTTCTGCTTGTTTGGATTTTGCTAATGTTAGCTGAACAATCGATGCCAATTTGTTAGTAACAAGAGGACATCATGGAATAATGGGGAAGTGTCGCATTAATCCTGAAGTAAATGGATGTGCAATGCTTTGCTCATAGTAGCCAACGTAAGCATCAACTGGTCAGAAAAGTACAAAAGCTCGATTACATTTTTCATTTACAGGAATTTGATTTTGCTCTCGTTTCTAAAAGAGCAATTCATAAAGTAAAAAAAAACCAAAACCTTCAAGGTGCAGGAACCATCTGCTGTGTCCAAATGCATGTTTATCTCTTAGACCACTGATTTTTATTTATTTTTTAAATCAAAATGAAGCCCAACCTCCACATGAACTAAACCACTAACAAAGAATTTTTTCCACATCCAAATTGTCTTCAAATTTCCGCAAAATATTTTTAAAGATCAGGAAAGACAAGCAGGAGCCACGTGGTAACAAAAGATTCCCTTTATTAAATGGATCTGTACAGCACATTCCTGAATCAAAACAGCAAGTCATTATCGGTTCATATCGACATTTTTTTCCCCACTTTCTTTTATTCTCCCTCCCCCCACCGAAAAAAACCCCCAACACATACAACAGGTGTGCTTCAACTCCTCCCCCCCAAAAAAAGAAATAGTCTTAAAACCTCCCCGTATTGCACCAGAGCCTCATAGACTTCAGTCCCAGGGTGTCAGCCTTAAAAACCAAACCAAAAAAAAAAAAAGAAACGAGCAAAAACATGCTGTCGGCCTGCGTCCTTCGAAACGAGGACAAAGTAAATACTACGGCTGCTTCCGTCGCCTGCAGCGTCGCCACGAAACATTATTGAAACGAATATTAGTCAGGTTGCTTACAAAAGGCCCCCAGAGCATCTATAAAAAGGGCGTCATTAAAATCCATAGTTTGAAAAAGAAATCTTTAAAATGGAGAGATTTTATGTGTGTGTGCGCGCTTGTGTAATTCAGTCCTGATGTGTGGAGGTGGATGATAAAGGCCAGAATTTAAAACAGAAAAAAGAATTTCAAGATTTGGAAAATGCTCACAAAGGCATTTTAGAGATATGCTTTGGATTTACCCGACACTGGATTTTATTTATTTTTTTCATTTTTTTGGCTGCACTTGTTTCAAAAATAAGTTATTTGGAAACAGACAATATCTCCATATATCAGTGTCTTCACCTGATCAGATTAACTGATCAATATGTACGGGAAGCTCATCAGTTATCAGTTATGCCCTGCACCACTGATAGGTAACTAAGGTTCTACGACAACACAAGTATCACAGTGAAATCAAGACTTTTGGCAAATACAAACTAGACTCTGTGTGAGATTAATCAGAGCTTTACCCATAAAAAAAACAAACAAAAAAAATCATTAAAATTCTCATCGATGGTTCGCATTTATTCTCTTCTACCGACAACGTCGAGAACAAAAGGCATTATTGATTCCGTGAGCTTCCATATTCACAAAAAAAAAAGGTTTCCGTCTCATCTGCTGGTTCCACAACCACACGTGTAATAATTTACAAGTATGAATGAAATGTTTTCGGGTAGGAAAAAACATTCGACGGGTTTTTACATCGAGCAAATTTTCAAGAAATTAATCTTTAAATCAATAACCTTTTCTTGTTTCGAGTTAAAAATAGAGGGAAAACAAATTGGTTTCACACAACCCCAGTGTGAAGATGCTTTTGGGAAACTCTGGCAGTGAAAATCTTTCTGTACGTCCGAGCAGAACTACAGAACTGACAGATCGGGTCGTTAGTCTGTGCTGGTGTTACAGCTCTGCAGCCACAATATGCTGTTTCTGTATGTGTGTGTCTGTTTGAGGGGTCAGATTCAAATAATTTGTCAAAACCTCTGCCGTGTGTGCAGACATTCAGCTTGGTACTCTGGAGCCATAAAAAGTCTAAAAACTGAGAGAAAAATAAAAAGGCTGATGAAAATATCATTAAAAGAGCTCCGTCACTGATCCAAACCTGACAGAGCTCATCTGTTTTGATCCAAGCTGCCACCGTAGAAGGCCTGTATCTCATATTTAACACATAATTAATACACCAACACCCCCTTGTACTTGTATTTTACTCCAGCTGGCCTCAATTTGGGGATTTTCCCTAAAACACATAATAAATGAAGACGTATCACTTTAAAGGCAGTGTTTCACTTCACTAGATCTTCTCAAATACAAGGCAATCGTAATCTTTGTAAAGCAAATTTAGTCAGAAGACTGTTTCCAAATCCATTCCTCTGGGAAAACTAATGCTCTCTGCTCGAGCAGCTAAAGGAAAATGGTTCATCGCTACTTTTACTGTTGCAGCTTTGGTTGTTTATCAGCTGAGCTAGCACGCTAAAGTCACTGCTGAGATCTGGGAACAATTAAAAAACACAGATAATCAGACAAGTTGTGGACAAAATCAGTTTTAGCCGATCAAGGAGACAGAAGTGTAGCTAAAGATGGCTGCACACTGAATCACTTGTAGGTGGATGTTTAAAACGCTGATTAATCAAATGAATGAAAATGAATTTGCAGCCATTTTGACAATTGAGGCATTAGCTGTTCCTCATTTCTTCATTTTTCTGCTTTTCCTAATTAAACTAACTTTCTTCGGGCTCTGGACTGTCGGACAAAATGAGACGTTTTAAGGCATCAGTTTGGACTGTGGGAGAATGTTATAGGATCTTTTATTTTTTTTCCTATTTGAATGATCAACTGATAAAAAAATGAAAGAACAGCTAAGGCAAGGCTTTTTGTTCCCCATCGCTGTAACGTTCTGAGCACGTTAGCAAAGCTGATAGAATTATTATCCACAGCAACCAACAGAAAATGCTGCAATAAACCTTTTTTTTTCCCTTTAGTTGATCTGAACAGAGCGGTAATATTCTGATTGAAATCAAATCTAAAGAGCTGCGGCTGCATCCCAGAATGCACCCTGCCCCTCCACACCAGCGAGCTACAGCAGCCTGTGGGCTCACGCTGGCTGTTCTAAAACCATCTCAGGGGAACGTAGCACTACGACAGGCTCTGATCACCGCTGAGGAGCTGAGGGGATGATGGGCGTCTTTGTGTGTTTGATGTTTTTGAGTTGTGTTTTGGTCGGACGACAGAGGCCCTGACTGAAGCTGCTCGGTTTTCACCCGAGTCAGGCGGCAAAACAGCAGCTTGAAACCAACACACACCTCTCTCTCCTCACACAAACACACACAGACACACACACAAGCTCATCACTCCGACACTTTAGCCGCCTCGAAGTTGACCGCCAACTTCCTGTGCTTCCTCTTGGAGGCGGAGCCGGGGGTGTGGCCTGTAGATGGAGCGCTCTGTCGAGGGGGCGTGTGCGGGGCTGGTGTCGTCGTGGAAACGGCATCCAGCAGACTGGACGAGGAGGGGTCGCTGTTGGTGGCGTGTTGGTGGTCCATTTTACCGCCCTGTGGTTCGCCCTGAGCTAGCGAGTGGCCAGACGGCTGGTTCTGGGCTTTCTGTGTTTGGTTCTTGGCGACGATTTGGGCGGCGCTGTAGAACTCTCGGGTTTCTTGGTTCTTTTTATTGGCTGATACGCGCTTCTTGGTCACCTGTCAGGGTTCAGAGGTGGAAGAAGAGTTCAGATGGTGCACTGGAATAAAACACCACAGTGTAGAAATGTATATTTTCACTGATGTTAGTGCACAAGATGATTATTAATGATTAGTATTTGCCATATTATGTTATTCAATCGTTCAGTTTCAGTATCGTGTAAAACTTCATTTTCAACATTGTCAATGTAATGTGCAATATTTAATTTTTCAGGTGAAATATTTCAGCATCATGTGTGATACGACTCATTAACTGAATGTACAGTCGTGACTCGATAATCCGACACTAAATGTAAAACCTTCTTTTATGTCGGATAGCAAGGCTGTCGGATTGTCAAGACGGAGGTCGAGACACAAGGAGGGCTTGATGCTTGAAGGCATTCATAGTTCTTATAACAACTAGAGTATTAGAACAACAAAACAAACCGAGCGATGGCACACCTAACGGACACCTCCACTCCGCCATGGCCCACCACCACCACCCAAGTGGACCGAACACACAAGCAGGAAAGGGCCCCGAACACAAAGGCAGTAACCGGCCACAGATCCCAGTCCACCAACCGGGCACACGGCAGAGTCCACCACAAGAGACACCCCACCAGTACCACATACGCTCAACCCTGAAAACACGGGGACACCGCCGCAAACACTGCGACGCAGGCGGGACACCTGCGGCGCATACGAAACACACACAGCAGATAGAAAGTGCACACAACAGAAAAAAGGAACAAACAAACAAAAAAAAAAAAAAAATCACAAAAAACAAAAAAAACACAAAAGAACCAAAAAGACCAGCAAGCCCAACAGACCCAACCTAGCCAATCAGTCACACAGATAAGACACAGAAAACCCCATTAGCCACATAAAAGACAAAAAAAGACACAGAAGACAAGGAAGCCAAGACGGTAAGGATATTAAAGATGGGTTCCATGCGTTCCGCCCAAAAACCTAGCAGATAGCAAGGTTTTCAGATTGTTAAGGGTCGGTAACTAAAGCTATGAAATAAATGTAGTGGATCATAAAGTACAATATTGTTGCTTGTTCCCCAGAGTCGTATTTAGTTTGAGTTGAGGTACGATTCTCAGCCTCTTCATACGTGTGTGGAAGCTCACCTGTAGCGGGATGAACTGGTTGTGGGAGCCGATGGGCAGTGTTGTTGCAGGCTGAGGACGGGCAGCACCGGGGAAGGTCCCTGCTGCTCCGTAGAACGGCTGGTTCTGGTGGTGGTGAGGGGGCAGCGACATTCCCCACAGAGGGGCCGGGCCGTAACCCTGAGGGGGCAACAGCAAACCACCTGGGGGGAAGAAAGAGAGTATACTGATGAGATTACAGCATAAACCAGGTTTGGTTTCATTTGGTGCTTTATCTCAACAATGCCTAAATGATCTATGTACGGGGTATTATGGTAGCAAAACTATTTGTAAATGTGTGTGGAGAGTTGTGTGTCTGTAGTAAGATTTGTCAGTGTGTCAAAAGATCTGTAAATACGTACAGAGATATTAAGTCTAAGGACAAATCTTTTACACATTCAGAAATCTCACTACAGACACAGATTGAGGAAAAAGTGAGACATTGGAAGTTTAGAAATCTCTCCCAAATTTGACCTTTGTAAAGAAACACTTTAAAACAAAGAGCAGAGTCTTCTGAGGAACCTGTTGAGGAGCAGCTTGTCCTCCACTACTGAGCTACGTACAGTGAAGTGTAAGGAGGACACACTGACCCTGTTGGCTGAAGACGGGCGTCATGGCTCCTAAGGGTGGAGGTCGTATCTGACCCACTCCTGGATATAGAGGAGGTGGGAGCGGAAAGCCCGACCCCACGGAGTTCTGCAGACAAACAGGAGGGTAAAGACAGCGGCACGTTAGTCGGGTGTAGCTTGATGTAAATCCTGTCATACAAGTAGTTGGACTATCAAGGATCACAACATTGAATTCTGTGATTTCAGCTTCTTCCATGTGAATATTTACTTGTTTCTTCCTCTATGACAGTCAACTGACAATATTTGGTTTTAGGACAAAACAAGATGTTGGAGGACATCATCTTGGGCTTTGGGAAACATTTTTTTAAACATTTTATAGACCAAACAACTAATCAAGAAAACAATTGACGGTTTAATCAGTAATCAAAGTAATCACTAGTTGCAGCCTTACAGTTTAGAAAAATGAGCTATCCTTTGCAAATTCTCCATGTCCAGAAACCATTTCAAAACACAATGTGAACTTTTTGGACGCTATAGAATTCTTCTGCTTCTCTTGCTAGAAACAAATTTTCTGTATTTTTATATCAAATAATGCAAATAAATTCATCACATACAGGCACCAGTGAGTCAAAACTGATTTAGACCGAAATGAAACAGCTCCCACAACCCAAGAATCATCATATATGATATATAAATGCTACTGTAGAAGAACTTCTACGTGCTGGAGACTTAAGCGAATCACTGCCATATATTTTGGTCTCGTCAATTATTCATTTCTTTCTGGCAGGAGGTACATACGATTTTGGAAGAAGCATTTCTTTTGAACATTCCATTTAAAGTATAGAGCTCGTATTCTGATGACCTGCCATCAGAGACGTCTGCCTCTAATATTTGTTATCGATTACAGACTTTAACAGCAGCTAGCAGGAAATCCATTCCTAGGAGGTGGCAAAAGGTCAAAAATACCTGCAGCAGTTAGATCAGTTTGAAATGACTTCAGATCTCGTCTAGATTGAAAGAATCACTTTTACTATCAAACTGCAAAAGGATTGCGTACTTTTGAGCTGCACAGCTGTTTAGGATTATTTTTCCATCCCATCTGTAGACTGATATGAGCCTCAGGGAGAGTCATCTGAATCCTAAGAGTCCATTAAGTCTGGATTTCAATGTTTGTAGTTTCCCTTTACACTGTTCTTTTTTTCGTTCTCATTCTATTTGTATTTATTCTCATGGTAGCTTTATGCATCTGTGCTTATTTGAAGTATTTATCATCTTTGTTAAAGTTGTATTTGGCAGAAGTGCAATTAAGCTCCTGCCTTAGACAAAATCACATTCAAATGTAAAATAAATGCTAATATGTGTGTGTACCAGTCTTTGCAGGGCAAAGAAGGCCGCATTCTCCTTGGCATCATTTTCTGATTGGCACTGTGGACCGTGAACCATCAGCCCGTTGGACAGCTTCACCTGACACACTACCAGACCCTGCGGGGACAAATCATAGTGCAAAATGTTAGAGCATTTATTATTGGCTTTGTGTGCGGTAAGAAACATGACTAAATGCACAGCGTTACCTGTCTGTTGCGTATGAAGCTGAAGTCGGGCGGTGCCATGCCCAACCCCACGCAGACGCAGGCCAGCTCTGACACCTTACTGGTCAGCACAGCGTTAGCAGAGCCACCCGGTGTTGGTGTTGGTAGCATAGGCCCATCACCGTGGGGGGTGTTCATTTTTGCAGCTGGAGGGAGAAAAGAACATCAGCTCACCATTGCTGGTGTGTGAATGTGGCTGAATTTTCCGTCAGTGTCAGTTTGGTACCTAGTTTCTTGGACGATCGTCTCCTGTTCTGCTGCTGACCGGCGGATTGCGTAGCGTTTCCTGTCTCTTGGGGGGATGGACTTCCTGATCCAGTGCTGTCAATCTTAAGCATCTCCTTCAGCACCAGAGTTCCCTTCTAGAGCAACAACCAACATACGAACCACATTCTTCAACTGCACGTTTTTTTGTTTTATGATACTTTTGTTTCAACTTTCCAAAGGTTCGACCTCCTCCGAAGCTCAGCCAATCTGAGCCTCGGATACTCACCATGGCGAAGGACTGTGGAGACAACGGGCCGTCTGACTGGTTGGTGGGAGCTTGCGGAGGAGCAGAAGGGGGTGGAGGCTGCTGACTACCTTTGGAGATCTTTAAACTAGCAATGAGGTCCTCAAATTCAGTTGTGGCCTGAGTGGGAGAAATATGTGAAGTAATGTCAGGTAAATGAAATCAAATTTGCTTACACAGCACATTTAAAAATAACCTGAGGTGACCAAAGTGCTGCACATGGTATCAGGCAGGCAGTGAAAAATGATAAAATATAGACAGGATAAAACTTGTAAAATCAAAATAAAATTGCATAAAATACTAAAACAAAAATAGAGGATTGCAACTTGTAAGATCCATCCATTATCTATACACCGCTTAATCCTCACTAGGGTCATGGGGGGCTGGAGCCTATCCCAGCCGACTTAGGGCGAAGGCAGGGGACACCCTGGACAGGTCACCAGTCCATTGCAGGGCCACACTTAGAGACAGACAACCAAGCACACTCACATTCACACCTACGGACAATTTAGAATCACTAATTAACCTCAACATGTTTTTGGACTGTGTGGGAGAACCTGGAGGGAGAACATGTAAACTCCACGCAGAAAGATTCCGGTGCCCCCACCGGGACGCGAACCGGCAACCTTCTTGCTGCGAGGCAACAGTGCTACCAACTGCGCCACCCTGCAGCCCCAACTTGTAAGATCAATTTCTAAAATAGAAATAAATGTGTAACATTAAGAACAGCCAAAAGTCATTGAAACCATTGACGTTTTTCTTGACAACAGTGATGGAGGGGGATATCTGACTGAATGAGGAAGTCTATTGCAAAGCTTTGGAGCTGCCACCTGCCGTCAATGCCAACTCTCTAATCAAGCAAAATACATCTTTCAGAGAGGTCAAGAGAACAGGAAAACGGGTGATGGAAAAGGAGATTGGAAGCTGTTGGGTGCTTGTGTACCTTGTTGGCTGTGTTCTGTGATGGGAAAAGGGAGTTGGCATCTTCATTTTTCTTCAACAGTCTGATGCCACCAGTTGGAGCCTGCAGATTACACACACACAGGTCAGCTCCAGACTACGAACATTTCTCAACCATTTTTGTAAACAGTGATGAGCACAAGTGCAACTTAAATATATCTGTATGTTTTTAAAAAAAATGTAATTAAATATTTTTCTAAACCATTATCACATATTGGGGAAGCAACAGCAGGGATCAAGAACTGGGGCGACAAAGACAAAGATTGGAGTGGAGAGATAAAGCAAAGATCTCGTCACCATAACAACACAGGATGTGGACGATTTTATGCATTGTGTCATCTAACTTAACTGATTGTTTTTTTTTCTAAGGAAAAAGATCATTCAGACCCTCTTGTGCAGCTGCATTACCAAATTTGTGATGAGGACAAATCAGACAAGGAATCAACACGACAAGAGAATGACACTAAAAGCTGTGCTGGAACAGATGCACTGATCAAACTGCAGCACTTCCACAATCATGATTATTTCTCCTAAAACCTGGTTCTGCTTCTCCTAATGAGACAGCAAATTGTTATGTTTGCAAACTGGCTATTCATTCCCAAAGCATTTATCAGTAACACAGTCAAGATGGAACAAACATGCATGTGTTGCATTTCGATTTTAATTGGCGCTACTAAAAGTTTTGCAGCTGGTGGGAAAAAGTTAGTTTGGAGCTCTGCTACTGAAGCTGCAGCTAACTTCAATGAAAAGCTTAAATCTGGTCCAACATGACACGGCTGACTTGCATGCAAATCCTTCAGTTTAAGTGAATTAGCTGCTTTTCATCTGGCCCTTGTGTGAAAACCTCATCCTGATCTCCAGCTGTTGAGCTGACATGTTTCAGCTGGAGTTTTATGCTGTGCATTCGTGTGTACTCACAGCTTTGTTGGTGTGTTGGTTCTTCCCTTGTTGGGCATTTCCTTCCTACAATCGGAAAATCACAATGTTGGTGTTTTTGTTTTGATATACAGTCACACAATTCCCCCGATCAGCAGGTGGCAGTAAAATATGCCATAAGGTGAGGCCTAATGATGCCTCCTGTCACCTGTGGTGCCAATTTTAATCTTCTCCTTTCACTACAAACACCAAAACACACCCAGAGACTTACATTATTGTGCCAGTGAGCTGGAGGTTTGTTAGGCGGGCCTGCGTTCTGAAGAGACTGCCACACATTACTGTACTCCTCTTTACTCTGGATGGAAACAGACAGAACACAGATTTCATTCATTCATCAGTAAGCTGCATTATCTATAAATGCTACTTTAAGCACTAAACACATAACATGTTCTATGACGCATGCAAGGCCACAAGGTCAGGGAGAAAGTAAGAAGGGGTTCAATACTGATGATGCCACGTTTACCTTTCCCTGTTGTTTCTGAATAGGACCTTTAGAAGGAGAGCTCCTGTTGCCCTGGGATGCAGCCTTCATCACACCATGTTTGTTGTTATGCTGCAGATAAGGAGAGAGGAAGGTTGGGCAGTGAGGCATGTGGGTGAAAGGACAACAGCTGTGAGAGTTACTTTACACAACAACCTTTGGTCTTTTAAAACTAGAAAAACCTGCGTGGATGTATTGTGCAGATTCTCCTCCCTCTTACCTGTGTGGGTACAAAGGGTGAACGAGGAGAGTGGTTGAGGCCTGCCAGCTGGCGGTGCGAGTTGTAGTTGGCGCCGGCGACGGGCTGAGGTTTGACGATGGCGGTGAGCTTGTGGGCGGTGTGGTCCACTCGGCTTCCGTGGGAAAGGTTGATCAGAGCGCAGGGAGGGAGGCGGTAACCACGAGGCGACGCACACCTGAGAGGGCAGACGGGAAACACAGCTGACACATGTCTACTCAGAAATGAGTGTGGGTTTTACTCAAACAGTGACGAGTTTAATTCTGGAAAGCTATTTGAAATTAATAAAAATTTCATCAGCATTAACCAACAGCTGACATACATCGTGTTGCACAGTTTCCTTGGCAAACACACACTTCTGTATATTGTATGCTACAGACTTCATCTTATAATTACTATTGAAGATCTTTTCTCCAATCAAGGCGTAGAATCCTCTCAGATCATCACAGTAAAGGGTCTGAGTTCAAAAGCCAATGTCAGATTTCAGTTTTTTTTTTTTTTTTTTTTAATTCTAATATTCTATTTTGTCTTGTCATTATGGGGTATTCAGTGTTGCTGTTCTGAAAAAAAAAATTCAAGGGAACACTTTCTGAAGGCACTACAGGACGCACCGTCGCCCCTGTCTTCTCAAGTATACTAATGATTATTCTGTTCTTGAAATTACATGATCAACATCTTGTAATTATAACTTATTTTCTCCCAATTATGACAATTAAAGTCAGTAAAACAAGGTAAGATCTCCAAATCCTTTTTATTTTGTGAAAGCACTTTCATAGATTCTATTTTTTTTATTGTAAATTTTCTTGAAGAAGCAAACTAGGAGCTTTTTAACTAAGATTTAACAATAGAATTACTGCTATAGTTGTGTCCAAAACTCATTCACATAACAGAGTTTTTATCTTCCTATTCTTCTTCCATTCTGAACCGATTTGCAAATGCCAAAAATAGACTTTGAATAGCGAATCACTAATTGTTCAGAGTGAAGAGTCCCATCACTAATTGCTGCAGCTACAATAATCAAACAGCAGATCCACTTAATGCACTGTTTAATTACCTGATGGTGAGACCTCCGGCAAATTCCTCATCAAACAGCACTTCATAGAGAACCTCGGCCTCACGCTCCGCTGAAGACATACACAGACTCAACTTTAATCATGCAACTTGTTACCTTGAAATGAGCCGACGTTTTAGTTGTTTTAGTTATGAAAAAAATAGCTGAAAGAAGTTGGTGTTCTCACCTCCTTTAATGCCAATGATGGTCCCTCTGAGCCCCAGTGGGACGGTGAAGCTCTCCCTGATGTTGACGACTCTGTCAAACAGTCGATATTCTGCATCTGGATCTGGAACCACACCCTGCTGCTGCTCCAACGGCTGCACACAAACACAAGAGTTTCTATTAATGTTCAACACATACTCAATTATTTTAATTATTGCACACAACATTAAAGTGCCAAGACTGTGCGTTAACACAAAGTGCCCATATTAAAGGTTTAAATATAACTAACTGGACTAATAAATGTTTTTGTTCTTGTATGTTATATCAACTTCAGTTCAGGAACAAAGAATGTACATGTGAAAGATGCCATTTAAATTAAGTGGGAGTTGCCTGTCATTATGAGCAGTAAAGAGGTGACCAGAAGAGTAAAAACGAGATTATAATAAAAGAATGAAACAAACTCTGACATTAAAGGTAGGTGATTCACCAAAATCAACAGCTGGGTTCTTTCTATAAAATGTGCACAGGAAAACTAGAAAATGGTAAACAAGCTGGTAGATCGAGCAGCACAGGTCTTGTGAATTAGTGGAAATTCATTTAAAATACTCTCCAGGATGTACACAAACATGCACAATGAGAATGATTAAGAAAGGACTTCATGACCAGAACCTCGCAGATAAGCCTCAGAAACAGAAAGGCCGAGATTCATTTTGCAAAACAAACTAGCAGAGTTGTGGAACAAAGCTCAACGGAGCACTGAAACAAAAGTCTATCTCGATCAAAATGATGGAGGCCTGGGAGGTCATCGCCAGGGTAAATACAAAACATCTGCTGCAAAGGATGCTCCACAACTTGTTTAATATAATGACATACCTTGAGATGTATCTGTACAGTTAATTTCAAACCCCTGAACTTCTAAAAGTGCTCCATCTCCTACATGGTTCTTTGTATACTAATGTGTTCTTTGTATACTAATGTACACCCTCTTAAATTAAAGCTGAGATGTGGCGCTGTAGTCTCTTTATTAGTCCCTCTTTTGAACTGGACTGGACGTGGCCTGGTATAAAATACCTCAAAGCAATGTGAACAATATGATTTATTTTATTTTCATCTTGGCATGAGACTGTCATGAAGTGTGCAAGAGGTCAGAGAAAGAAGTAAAAAGTGTCAATTTCACAGGACGCCACCAAGGAAATTCACTATACACAATAAAGTAATGACACATGAAGACAAAATGTTCTTACCCTGAAGAGGAGATGAGGTTTGACTGTCACACGGACTTTCTTGGTGCTCTTCTTCACCTGAGAGATGGACAGTGAGAGTGAGACAAAATAGAGAGGATTAAGGTTTAGGACTGTAAATGGGTCGCCCCACGGAGACTATTTCTAGTGTTTGTAACCGGTGGAAGGATGCAGTAGTTGGAAACTGTGTGTCCGAGTCACCTTGGCCTTGTCCACTGCATCCTCGATCCTCTCCACGATGGCGGAGTCCAGCACTTGGAGGTCACATGACGTCCTGCTGATGGAGCTGACTGGGTGACTTTTCAACCATGATGTGATCTCGGTCACTTTCTCTGCCCTGTGGGGTGACAAAGGTTCATGAACTAACTCACCATCAACTGAAGCTCATCAGCAGACAGAAGATATTTATTCTGGAAAAAAGCATTCATTAGAGAAAAGTTAAGCTCGAGGAAATGCTCAGTTAAAGCTCTGACTGCAAGAACAAGATATTTATCCAGGTTCAAAACTGCCTCTTAGGCTTGTTTGAACCAGTTTTGTACGTCATATCATCCCAAAATCAGTTCACTGCAGCTGAATCCGTGAACAAGCAAAAGCAAAAAAACATCTACACCATCAACTTGGTAATAAAATCTGTAATGTTTCTGGGTAGCACACTTTTAAAACTCTACAAACTCTTGGTATGTATGAGAGTATATTTGTGTGTTTTACCCGTTCTGGTCCTCTCCGGGCCAGATGTCATCTTCATAGAAAACATCATCGTGACTATTTCTGGACACTGTGTCAAAGACTTCACAAAATCTGTGAAAACACAAAGACATCATCAATTGTGGAGGTTTTAGTCTTCGTTTATTCATATTCTCTTTCACACCATTTACACACTGTGCAACAATTCATAGTTTAATGCCACTTTAAATATAATCAGGTCATCAAACCGCCATCAAATAAGCAGCCTGATGGAAAAGAGGAGACTCTGTTTTTTTTTTTTTACCTTTCCAGGTATTCAGCTAGCAGCTCCTCTACAGCAGCAGAGTAGAGCCACTCTTTTTCAGTTCTCTTGGTGTATCCAGGAACCTCCTCGTTCTTCTTGTTGAACTTCAGGTTCAGGCCAACATTAGCCTTTTGTTCCCCACAGGGACTGGACACAATGAAGAAGAAGAAGAAAAGATCAGAGCAGAGACGAGGAAGCAGGAAAACTATGTAATTTAATGGTCAAGTTCTTTATAACTAGTGGAATAAAAACATAAAAACACTTACTTCTTCTTAGAGCCTCTGCCAATGAAGATGCTTCCAGAGAAGCGGGAGACGAGATAGCTGGTGATGCCGAGACGAGAGGCCAGAATGTATCCAGGACTGTACTTCACACAGTATTTCTATACAATGCACACAAACATAAAGCACAGACGGGTGAGGATGGAAAACACTCTTGGTACTACACAGATGCATTTACAAGTGTGTGTGTCTGTGTGTGTCTTACATGCTGATTCTGGATTAACTGCTCCAGCTGTGGCTCATACGGCACGTTGAAGACGACTCGTACTCGACCCTCTTTGATGACATCTTGAGAATCTTGCACCTGTTAAGAAGATTTGAACGTGGAGATGGTATTAATTCAAACAAGTGACTGTACTG